TATTCGATTTCAAAAAGAGAATATCATCGTCTTTTTTTTTTTTTTATCCATTTTCGAGGAAGAATCTTCTACTGACAAGGAAAAAAAAAAAGAAAAAAAAAAAAAAAAAAAAAAAAAAAAAAAAAAAAAAAAAAAAAAAAAAAAAAAAAAAAAAAAAAAAAAAAAAGAAAAAAAAATCTGAATGAATGAGTAAGGAACGAACAAAATCTTTTTATTGTCGAAGGGGAAAAAAATAAAAAAGAATTCTCTAATTATTTTCTTATAAAGAAATAAATAGTTCAGATCGATCGTTCATTAAAATCTTCGTATTGATCGAGGTCCGATCTTATTGATCCTTTATAGAAGATCGAAGGTTTACAAAAAAAAGGGGTGGGGGGATCCGAAGGTGTACGCGAGTAAGTATTAAATATGGTTTGCGATGAAAATATTCGGTTAAGGTCCCTTAAGGGTGTTTCGAGGATGGCTAGAAACGAGGTCAGCCTACCGATCCTGGCTCCTTCAGATTATCAGACCTTTTTCCTTGGCCGAACGCCAACGGTCGTCATGGTAACCATCTCTTAAACGTATTCTCGCCCTTTCCCTACCTCTCTATCCACCATTGCCACCTCTTCTTCCTAGTCACTTTATGGAAACATTGAAGTTAGCGATTTATCGAATCAAAATGTCGTTCCTTTTTTTTTTCTTCATCCTTTTTTTTTTTTCTTTTTTTTTTCTTTCTTTTTTTTTTTCTTTCCTTCTTTCCTTCTAAACCCCTTTTTCCAAAGCTTACTTTTGGATTATATTCCATGTGCATACTTCTTTAAACCGAGCGCACTTTCAATGCAAAAGAGAGGAATAGATAAAAAAAAAACGAAAAGAGAGGTGGAAAAAGTGGCCCATTGGGGAGGAACGATTATTATATTTTATGTATAAAAGGTGAAAGCACCTTTTGCAGTCGATCTTAAATCTTCGAAAGATAAAAGAAAGTGGGTGAGAAAACGTGATGGGGTGGGGGAGGGGACGGTAGGTTCTTCAATGTTTTAAAGGAAGAAATTTTAAGATGGTCCGAGGGATAAGTGGGATATCAAAGCTTTAAGAAACTAATGGAATCCGACGGAATATTGCAAAATTATGTGTCCATAGATCAATCTGAATCATTATTATCGTTCGTACGAGCTTTTATTCGTTCGTTTTAAGTTTTTACTATCTTTCGAATTTATTTTTTCGTTATTTTTCTTTCCTCTTTTTTTTGTTTTGTTTCGTTTTGTTTTTTTTTTTTCTCTTTTTTTTTTCTTTTTATTTTATCGAAAACTTTTGGCAGAATACCAATGAGTTTAATCGATGTTTCATACTTTATCATCGGTCAGGACTATATACCTATGTATGGTATGTAGATGTATTTGCTATTGTTCGCATAAAACAGGCCGACTTGACACGTTCACGCATTTTTCATTTTTTTCCTATATATACATATATATATACATATATACATACATACATACATACATACATACATACATACATACAAAGATACATACATACATATATATATATGTGTATACATATTCGCCTTCGTTTCATAATCGATCAGCTCGTAAATAATGTAAGTATAAAAAATTTGCAAAATTTTATGGAACTAAAAAACTTGTAAGTCTTTGAGACATTTAAATAAAAACGATTAATATATAAAATTGAGAAATGATAGTTAAAAGTAATAGATTCGGTCGATAGACGTCGCTGAGATCGACCTTTATCTGGTCTTAGTCTCTTCGATGTCAATGCCTTCTTTCATACGACATTGAGAGCTTGATCTGTTCGGACGTCATCTTTTAAAAGGCCACTAAGGTAATGGAATCGTATATTTATATATATATATATTTATATATTGATAATATTTAATAGATTTGATTTAATATTTATTTCGTTTATATTATATTTAATACATTTATATGTTATTCGCTACGTATAAATCTGTGAAACAATTTATGTTTTAAGATAACGTTTTTAACGTTTTTCATCATTCTCCATCTTTTTCTTTTCCGTTCTTTTCTTCATCTTCTTCTTGTTCTTTTTCTTCTTTTTTTTTTTCCTTTTTTTTTTCTTTTTTTTTTTTTAACACGTCGACACAACTCCAAAGCTTTCGCGTACCGTTCGCCATAACCACATACCATTTTACGTGCTTTTATACGAGGATGTAATTATTTAAAGTGCGTGCAAGAAGAACGTCATTTCGAGCAATCCGCATCAAGTATAATTCGTAATAACGTGTAGTACTCGACGATGGAGCGAAACAAGCGTTACGAATTTTCAACATGACATAGAGAAGGTGCGACTAGGTAGAAAATGAAATTATAATAGAAATTTTTTGAATGTTTCGCCTACCTTCAATTTTCCTTACTCGTTGCTTCGTCTTTGAGATGGATGACTTGAATATTACTTACGTGTACGTATTACAGAAGAGGACAAAAAGCAAGATGGTATGTTACGTCGAAAGATTAAAAAAGTGGATCAAAGCTGAACGACGATTTAAAATTCGAAAAATTCTTGTTTAGAACGATCCGCTTGTAAATCATAATTGTTCTTTTTTTTTTTTTTTTTTTTTTTTTTTTTGTTAGTAATACTACACCTTTACGTATTTATATACGCCGTACTATTATTTATATTATGAAATATATAATATATATAAAATATAAATAAATAATATATGAAAAATATTTTATATTTATGAAGATATAGCCGGACAAGTTATATACGTATGATAGTAGATAAACGAAACAAAGAAAAAACTTGTAATCTTTGTGAAACGTAAACACGACGTACGAATGTATTTACGTATGTCGTACAAAAATATCTACGTATATGTAGTAGAATAATATAAACAATCTATGACCGAATCAATCGACCAAGTATTAGACGCGTTCATTGATCAACGATAAGTTAACTATATACATTCATAGGAGTCTTTTTTAATAATAAGTTTAGAAATTAGTTCGCATAAACGTTATTTTCTCTACGTTATTTTTCCTTTAGGTTTAATCCTTTTTTTTTTTTTTTTTTTTTTTTTTCTATAACGTTTCACTTTTTCCTTCTACGTTTTATTTTTCATAATATTTTTATTTTTCTATTTTTCGTTTCGCTCATGAAGATGTTCGTTGAGAAAGGAAAAAAAAAAAAAAAAAAAGAAAAACACATTTCGCATGAGTAAAATACTAATAATAAGATAAAATACGGAGATCGTCCCTAGATAATATTTTCTAATTCATACGTCGTAATTTCGTTTTTGCAATTGTACGACGATTGCTGGTACTAGATTTCAATTGTGCGGAAAAGCCAACGTAATGTAACGACACAATCCGACCACGGTTCGCCTATTCTGACAGCTTGTTTCGTTCATAACGTATGTATGTACATATATAAATATATATATATATATATATATATATATACGTTTGGACAACGAATTGGTGTTTGTCGAAGCGTATGAGAATGAAAAATGTTCGAACACGTCAAAAGTCGTGTGAGGTAACATAACATTCAATGATACATGTGAGGAAAAAAAAAAAAAAAGAAAAAAGAATATGCCTGGGTTTCGATAAACCATGAATCTTTACGATCACTTTCAGTTATCTTTATTTTTGTACTTTGTTAAAGAAGTCGACGCTGATATATATATATATATAAGGATACTAATTGTTATTTACAATTCAAATTAGCAGAGATATAAATCGATCGGGGGGAGGGTTGGTGGTTGGACACGAAACACTTGGACAAGAACAGTCGTCTATTCGAACGTATACCATTTCTCTTCATTGCTTTGTACATTGTTTAATTACACCATCGAAATTCAACTGATGAAGTCGATAAATGTCTCCTCGTGATTACATAACAGAAAATTATACATTTCGATTATTTCTAATTAATTGGCTCGACGTTTTACGTATATATTATGAATACAGTTTGGAAACAAATTAATTATTATTTCACATGTTATCGTTCACAGTTTTATGCACACATGGAATTTTGAATGGTAGAGAGAGAGAGAGAGAGAGAGAGAGAGAGAGAGAGAGAGAGAGAGAGAGAGAGAGAGGGATTCAATGAATTTTAAAGTTAACATTAATCGAATCCAATATGGAAATATTATTATATTAAATACAAATGTATTTAAGTATAAATAAATGCATAAGTAAGTAAGATTAGAAATTTAGTCGATGTACTTAATAGAAAATTAATGAGAATTGTTTAATAAGATATATGATATATATATATATATATGTTGTAAAAGGAAGAGAGATAGATAATCCACATTGTTGTTGAGTACCTACTTATTAGAGTGGCTCATCGATATTAATCGGATTATCGAACCACAAATTTCATATGTATATGATACGTACATTCATATATGTAATATATATATATATACGTATATATACGTATATATATATATATATATATATATATAGATATGTAAACCTCCAATGTGAAATAACAATTCACGTACGGATTTCGTATCACGAAACGCGAAATTATCCCAGAGCACGTTGAGGGACTTGCGGCTAACCGCAGTGTGTACCTATCAGCCGATTTGTGTGTAACACGTCATGATGGTTATACGCGAATACGGAATGTATGCCGTAAAGCTTCGTGCGGAATAAAAAAAAAAAAAAAAAAAAAAAAGAAAAAAAAAAAAAAACAAAATTTAAGTTCTAATAGCTACAAGTTCTTATTACTTA